TGTATCACTACACAACATGTCTCAAGAAAATCTTTTATTGATATAATAATAATAATAATAATAATAATAATATAACAACAACAACAACAACGGAAGATAACCGGATCAAGAAATGCTCGATGAAGTCGGATGTGTCTGCAGCAAAATGCAAATATCGCAGATTTGCTGTAAGCAGGCACAATACAGTTGCGTCATTCAGAAGAATGAAAATCAGAAGACATTTAAAAAAAATATTTACACCATTAATGTAATGTCACTGTTTAAACTCATGTGTAAAAAAAAAAATCAAACTGATTACTGTGGTGATTATACTATTTAATACTCTACGTTCGCACGACATACCTTCACACCGCAGCTGATACACTAATGTGTCGCTGCACACAGTTTGGAAAGCTCTGCTGTACAATGTTAAGAACAGCTGAGCTGGTCAAATCCCCCACTTCTACGGCTCTTTATCATTATAAGCACTCACGTTCATCATTGGTCCTTCCTATTCTTTCTCAATCTCTTTCTGGTCTTCGTTCAGCGTCATTTCAACCACAAACAAACGCCGCAAATTCTAACCCCTGTCGAATTAACTGTCAATGGGAGTACAGCGGAAACAAGCATGTGTACCATAAATCCTGGACAGCTTAAGTACAGAACAAAACGGGAATTGCGAAAAAGTGACAAGAAAATGACAACTGTAAGGGCTCTATGTCTAGCAAAAAATCGATGCTAGGATATGTTTTTGATATACCTGTTTATAAGACATTTTCCAGCCGTTACTGACAGATATAGAAAATTATGGAGTCTGCTTTATTTTATAATTTCAGATATATTTAGTATTGTTGTCGTTGTCTGTGGTTTAGGAGTTGTGTCCAGTTTCATAATTCTAACATATCGCGGTATCGGCAGCAGATGGTTTGACAGCAAAACGATGTCTACTCTCTCGTTCGCGACAATCGCGCCGCGAAGGATAGAGTGGAGCCGCTAAAAAGGTTAGTCGCGTATCCTTTACAGAACGTTGCAGAACCAACGCCAGCATCTTTTGGCTGTTGTGGTTTGTCTAGGCAAATCTTACGTTCAGTAGGTTGCCACTGCTCACTAAACAGTCAGCTCTCGGAACCACTGTCGAAACCAACGCAAGACAAGTCGTTTGCAACTGGGATGGAACCCGGCACCCCAGCATTACGAAAGGGCGTTCGTAACGCCTAAGCCACTGTTGCCGACAGTGAAGCTTCATGGTATGATATTCCCAAGGACAGGAGTGTGTATACTGTAGCCAACGTAAGTGTGGAGCCAGAACACAAATTCATCACCTTCTTATTCTTCTTACAGTCCACGCCGTGTTGTTTTGGTAGTCATGTCTATCCACAACCGTCTGTCTCGTAACCTTTCAATAACATCTGACACAGATTATCTTTCGCCATGATGCCAAACTCTGTCTCTTTTAACTTTCAACATTCTAACTGTCATGACGCAGTCTAGTTTACCCCTTCTCGTGGCATTAATAAGGATGTAGACTGTCTCCTTCTGTTGTTGACAATCAGTTCTCTGTGGGTCAATTTCTCTCAATATATCTTCATTTCGCTGTTTTATCTCTCACGGCATTATGTTTATACGTCTATAAAACCATATCCTTTAATGCTTCCTTCTAATTTTCCACTTATCGACCGTGCCCATTATTCAATTTTAAATATCAGCATTGGATTTATAAAGCTCTTGACTAAGACAAATTGCATACAACAGTCTTTATTTGGTGAAATGCTGTCTTTGCTTGAGCTGTTCCACATTTAAATTCTTTATTAAATCTTCTGTATGCTGTTATCATGGTAACACAATTTTTTTAAATAATAAACAGGATAAATCCGAAACACAAACGAAACATAAAGTTAGCTAACTAGCTGGTCACGTGTGTATGTCGATAAGGGTGTATATTTGAATTGATGTATTTGCCATTCTCGCTGTTGTATTTTTACTTAACATTCGCATTATGTACATTGCTATATTAACATGGTGTTCTTTATAGATAACCTACAATTGCTTTGTGCAATGACGACAAATTATATGGGCCTGTGCGCCCCATTTAAAAATGAAGTTCGTTTATTCGTTATGAGGTCCACAAGAAAATTGTCGCTGAACATCGAACATCCACATGTGCTCGGCATCCTCTCTTCAGTATATCCACAAAGCGTTTGGCAACTGACGACACCTGTTCTACGCTGGAGAATTATTATTATTATTATTATTATTATTATTATTATTATTATATGGTCTTCTCCAATTTAAAATGTTAGTTACGTTTCCTTCACATTACGCTGAAGTACCAACCCCGGCATTTTTAGGCCGTCTGGATTCACTAGGCAATATTACGTCCAGTATTTTGTCATAGTTCCCTAAACGGTCAGTTCTCTATACCATTTATCAAAACCAACGCAGAGCAGACCACGAATGTCTGTGCACTGGAACCACCAGGGACAGAGAATTAAAAACAGACACACACAAAAACTTAGAGAAGGGAGCTTGAGAGTGAAGACTAAAGGATGGGGAGGACATGGGATGAGCTGCATGCAATAGCGAAGGATAGAACAACTTTGCGTGAGTTGGCTGAGGGCCTATGCTCCATTGGAGAATAGAAGGAAGAAGAAGGATGCACAGCAGTCTGCTGCAAAATCTCAAATTACGAAGCGCGTTCGCAAGGCCCAAACTACAATTTGAGCTTGAAAAACAAATGGGGTTGGGGCGGGAAAGTGGGGGGGGGGGGGCGGTGAATGCACACTTACAAGCAAGGATAAGGCGAACACGCAGGGTTTTGTAAGTCCTACATTATACATACATGCAACATGCAATGTGTTGGGTTGGAACATGCTAGCTAGATGAGTAACCCTAGAATACTGCCCCAGAAGAATGAACCGATTCACGTCTAACACATTAATAATGGGCCAGAAACATGCCGAAGGTCTTGGAATCGTTTGCTGATTGTGTGCGTACATCAGCTGCAAACTCCGACGTAAAGTCGTGGCTGTTCGTCCACTTCTGGACTTTGGTTTTGCTCCAGAACGTGAGTTTTAAGTGTGCGACCCTTCTGCAAAATCTAACGTATTTGTATGCAGACTGTTGGTTCATCGCCTCTTAGGTAGATGCGCTCAGATATCGAAAGAAACATTCCTAATTATTCGCCTTTTACGACATGCTTGTCGTTAAAAAAAGGGGGCGGGGGACAGTGGATCCATTCTTTTTCCCCCCATCAGACTGGAGTCCCGTAACCCAAATTATTTTAAAATACAGCTCATTTATCCAATGAGCCTCTCCCTTCTCTCTTCTGTGACTCTTTATTCATCGTCCTCCCAGACAACCCCTCATTTAGTTAGGTTGCAGACTGAGGAAAATGCAACACAGAAACAACTTCAAATTGTATTTCTTGAATTTCCTTTCTTTTGCATCGATGTATCTATCTAGGCGTCTCGCCATTATCTTAATGCATTTGCTTACTCCACTGCAAAAGCCTAGTTTGCTATGCAATAAATAATATTGTGATCATTCTCTATAACGGATTTTTTATTCTTCTTCTTCTTCTCTATCACGGCATTCCTAGACCGTCATTTGTCCTAATTCAACGCATATAGGCCAGCGCGTATTAGACCAGCGATTCTCAACCTATGGGTCGCGACCCCTTTGAGGGTCGAACGACCCCATCCACAGCGTCGCCTAAGACCATCGAAAAACACATATTCACTGAAGTTAAGTAGCAACGGAAAAAATTTTATGTTGGGATCACCACAACATCAGGAAATGTATTAAAGGGTCGCGGTATTAGTAAGTTTGAGTGTCACTGTATTAGACAGAATAGAGAAACGAGGACAATTAGGCCTTCCCTGACTGTATAGTGGACGTCAAAGTGGGTGATGCGACACGAGGGACGTTCAGAAAGCAATGCCCCACATTAGTTTTCTCGTGGACTAATGAAGCCAGAAGCAAGACATTGTGTTCGCTTTAAAACTAAAGTGTCAATATAGTGGGTACGAGATGGAACTTATTCTCGTAAAATGAACAACTGCGTTAATCTATTAACATTGATTCGAGGGGAAGGGGGAGGGTGGTGTCAAACGGTCAAATATCTGCATTATTCACTTCTATTGTGCCTATGTGGGTGTCTTCTTCTGCCTTTCTAACCACCAATGCAGCATAGGCCCTCAACCAACTCATGCCAAGTTGTTTTATCCTTCGCTACCGCATGCTGCTCTCTCCCATGTCATCCCCATCTTTGTAAATGAGGAGATACGGTGATATTATTCCGTTGTGAAAACCTGCTGTCTATTTACAAGTGATCTAGTGTATCTTTGTTTCTGATTCTAACAATGACAATCAGTACATCCTTCTCCTTCTATATTCCGCTGATGTTCCTGCTGCAAATATCAACCGCTCCCATTCACCTCTGTGATTGGATTTCTTTTTCCACTTGGTGATTCCAAGTGTTTTCTTAGGTCTGCACATATATTATCTCTGAATAGTCTTCTTTATTTGCAATCTACACCCATTCAATTGTTGTGTGTGTGCAGTCGTTGCAGTCTGGTTATCTGTCATTATCTTCATATGTCCTAGCTACTGCAGTCTATTACTGAGTGCCCTTATCTTTATGTTTTCTAGCCATGCAGTCTAGTAGTCGTAGTATAGCCAGTAATTAATGAGTAGTGACCCAAAGAGAATGCTGTTATTGATTACCACTCTCCGTAATTTTTCGCCGTTCGAATCAGTATATAACAATTAGCTCATTATATCTATACAGTTTAAGACTGGCTACATTACAAGCCATGATGGTCCACGTGACTTTCCACTATGCTCATTGACGTAATGTGCAGTGACAAGCAAGGGTTAGCAAGCTGTTATATATTAGCAGATCAGATAGCAAACAGGTCCGTTAGTGGAGGATGAGAAGGGGTGGGCAGATAGCTCGGCTAGCAGTAGCTGAACTCTTCTCTTCTGTCATAGTTAGTGCGTGAACATACTAAGCTACCTACCACCCTGCTTATCCAGTATAACAATGGTTTTCACGCCGACTTCTTGAGACTGAAAAAAGAAAACAACACACTTACTACACATCAAGCAAGCAGGCACTATAACGTCTCTGAAAATGATACACAAAACATGCAGACATAGCTTATCATTAGACAGTGAACGACAGCCAAAACCGTGTTTCCCCGAAAATGAAACCGGGTCTTATATAAAAGTGTGCTCAAAAGATGCCTTAGGGCAGCGCTTCCCAAACTTTTCTTTGTCGCGGCGCCTTTTTTTTTTTTTTTTTTTCAATTATTTTTTTTTTCCACGGCACCCTTACCTAAGTAAAAGTATAACTATTCGTGTCTTGGTTAAAATGATTATGAAGCTTTTACAATCTTTCGCGGCGCACCTGTGAAGAGGTCGCGGCTCCCCGGCACACAGTTTGGGAATCACTGCCTAAGAAGTTATTTTCATGCGATGTGTCTTATTTTCGTTTACAATAATCTATATTTATATTATAACTTATCCAAAGCGTTAATGTCAAGATTTGTATTATTTATTACCATTCATATATATATAATATATATATAATATATATATATATTATATATATATAGTATGATATATATATATATATATGATATATAATATATATAATATATATATATATATAAATTCGTCACTTTATAATTCACTACATCTATCGTTTTTTTTTTTTCAACGGAAGAATGAAATCGGCCCATCTAGCTTAATGATAGCCTTAACTAGAGCTTACATTTGGGGTAGGGCTTATATATGCCTGCTGAACAATCATGCTTATTTTCCAGTTTGGTATTATTTTTGTGAAACCACGGTAGTCATTTGGAACCAAATTTAAAAAAAAAAATTATCACGTCATCGACAATCTACAATAACAATAAATCCACTAGAGTATAAACATAAGAGTGGCGACATTATTAATTAATCAAGTAACATAAAGTGTATTGATCGGCATTCATAGAAAGAAGTAGAAAGATTGAAGAACACACTAGACAACATAAACATCGAAAATAGTTACCGTGCAAGGAATTGAACCTGTCACCTCCAGACGGCGTGTGCGCCTCGCCGTGGATACAAGTGCACTAAGAACATGGTCAACTAGGCACCCCCAAAAGAAGGTGTCTTACTGGCTATGTCTATCGTACAGCTTGAAATCCACAACTATGGAATACAGGACATAATTCATTTCAAACCCTTTAAATGGCACAATAGATTACAGAAATTTATATTAAGAAAGCATTTGTTGAATAACAATTACAGCAACAATTTACGAACAAAGTAGACCTTAATGCTTTGTCTAGAATACACACACATTTAAGAAAGGTATTTGATTGGTAGGTTCCGGTGTGTATACGTCATTCCTATAAATGTGGCGACATTAGTATGTTGGCCTACCGACAAAGACGCTGACATAGATAAAACATTGCCAGGACTGGGAAAAGGGGGGGAGGGGGGGGGGGTCCTAAGGACATAGGCCTTGTTTAACTGATTAACAACATCAACAACAACACTTTTAAAATGTGATGAACAGAGGGTGAACATAATAGCATATTTGAAATAATACATGTATCAACAAAACCTTTTGAAAAAAAAAAGACTTGCTATAAGAATAAACTCACAGGGAGCAAGTACAGCGGGGATCTACCAGTCGTCAGTAGAAATTATCCTCGTCAACGAGCGTTTCGGCCACGATTCCTAGACGCTTTCGGAGTGGGCCCACCTGAGTTCATGAAGCTCAGGGCTGGTACCTGCTGCACGAAATTACGGATGGGGTTTTCTTCGGACAGAGACAAGACGACTTGGTGGTTTTGCAGAAGGTACTGTGAGATAAGAAGCCGTCGCGGCAGCCTAATTAGAGCAGTCAGCAGCGCCTGGACGACCGAGCGACAACTTTAATACGTTTGGTTACCGCCCCCGGACACCATGTTGGACTTTTATTAGCAGGTGGCAGAGGAACACTGGCAGACAATTTGGACACGATGGACTTTCAAAGGGTGAGAAACCCTTTTCCTGCTATACATCATCGCCCCTTACAAATCTGGAGAGTGTATCTTGGGGGCAGGGCTGGCGTTCAATATGCCTAACCCTCCAGGTACATGCCTTACCAAGCCACTGATTCATTAATAGGGTGAAATTCACCCTCCCCCCCCCCAACCCCCTACAAACCACAGCCGACCCTGTTTGAGTACAAGTGAAACCGGACAACAATAATTCTACTGTCTTAGACTGTCCCTGTTCTCTATAGGTTGCAATAGCGCAGACAGATTGTCCCTGATCTCTATAAGTTGCGATAGCGCAGACAGATTGTCCCTGATCTCCCTAACTTGCAATAGCGCAGACAGATGGTCCCTGCTCTCTCCCAGTTGCAATAGCGCCGACAGATTGTTCCTGTTCTTTCTAAGTTGCAAAAGCGCAGATAGATTGTCCCTGATCTCTCTAAGTTGCAATTGCGCAGACATTGTGTCCCTGTTCTCTCAAAGTTGCAATAGCGCAGACACGCTCGCGTGTTTTACTCCTTGGCGTGCCGATTTTAAAGCAATAATGTAAACATTAGCCAAACTCACAACGTTAATGATAATAGCACAGAGATAGATAGCATTGTTGCTCCCAGGGGCATTGCACTGGTACGCCCACTTCACAATAAGATAACCTAGCATTTGACAGTGCCAAAAGCTTGACACTTCAAGCATCCGCAAAATGTAGATTACTAGGGCCTAGGGGTAACAACTGTAGAGTTTATTAACGTTACCACATGGAAGTGCCTTCAACTGTATTATATTATACTACTGATCTTTCAACTCTGGGGCTCAGGCTTTTGGTCAATGACGATCACCATTTTCAATAATATGGCCCCTGGGTAAAGTTTAGCTTAATGGTCTTGACGTAGACTCAACGCTCGCACGCCACAAACGAAATGTTCGCTCCCAGGGCTCCAGTCTGGAGTTGAGTTGATTCAAGACTCGACATGACAGCACTCAGGGCACTCCCATGAGCGCCCCGTCCCTATTTTCGTCAGCCAAGGCAGATTTCCAATACCAATGGTTCCAGTAGCAGACTGATTATATGTCCGTCTTGCCACTCCTCTGAGCGTTGAGTATCGGCCAGACCCCCTTGTCATTTGACGCTGCATCATTCTCACCAGTGATGATCAATTTTCTGTTCCAAATTGTCCATAAGGCTTTAACCATGTCTGCCTTATCATGCATTGATATTCCACCAAACTGTGCACATCCAGCCAATCTGTCCGACTGTCCATGTCCCAACATACCAGCATGCCCTGGAGAAAAGACTCAGACAATGCTCTTCCACCCTTGACCTCCGAAGCGAAGCATGTCACTATGCACGAAGCATGCCGCCTGTCTCACCTTCCTCAGAATGCTCTCTTAGTCAGTTACAACTACGATGCGTTAAAAAAAAAAAAAACAGTTTAGAGGAGTACGACACTGGTAAACTGAGCTCATTATAAAGGACAACTTGAACTTTTCCATAAATAATTCTTCTTCTGCGTTCGCCCTCAAAAGGGCTGTTGGCACGTTATCGTTTATAGCTAGGCCCTAATTTCTGCGCCCTTCGGCGCTACACATCCAATTTCAACAAACCCTAATTTGTCACCTTTTACGACATTCTTGTTTTAGAGCCCTGGAGCCAACAATAGGAACTGGACACTGGATATTAACAGCTAAACCTCACAGTCGCATAGACGATGGATAACCAGATCAGCGACCAATCAACCTATTAACTACAGAATAAGGACAACCCTAGCTTCGTTTCCATAGAAGGCCATGCTGCATCTCTGGGGTCATTTATGCTTACGCGATAAATTAAATGAACCAAAACACATGCAATTAGCTGACTCAGGCATCCTCATTTCCCATTACTAAACTAAATCAGAGGTGCCCAGGAAATGAACTGCGTGCAGGATCTCCGGCTCTCCGGCTGGAATCATTGTGCTCACTCAACCATTCTCTTACAGTTCCATGAAAGAGTCGCAAAATGCACAATTAAGTAATTCAGAGATGCTGATCGACCCCCCCCCCCCCCCCCCCCCCTTTTTTTTTTCCTAAAAAAGTCCTGGTCTCGAATTTCGATAAGGGGGAAGTTTTTATTTTTATTTTATTGTATTTTTACGGTAGGTAAGGTAAGTTGCGAATTATTTACATGACGTTCCAGAACCAACCCCAACAGTCCCTGGCTGCTGTGTGGTTTTTCATAGCAAATTTACGTCTAGTAGTTTGCCATTCCGCCTGGACGGTCGGCTTTCTTGATACCACTGTCGAAACCAACGCAAGGCGCATGGCCCACAGCTGGGATCGAACCCGGCATTCCGGCATTACGAAGCGTTCGCTTCGACTTAGCCATAGAGACGACTTTTACGGCAGAAGCAACAATAAAAAAAAGGTAAAGTCGGGAGACGTGAACCAGCGTCACTGCACAACGGTTATAAACCATAAGTGTTCTGCCACCAGTATGGACAGCTGATAAGAAACTGTCCGCCTGTGTCGCCGTCAGTACTTAACTCCGTAGCTACAGCGACGTACCTCTATTCACCCCAAAGTGTCAACTCTGGTAGCCATTTCCTAGACGCTGGGTGAACTCCAAACCGCCCGGTTTCGAACACCGACTGTGACTGCAGCGAGTCGCAGCTGGATTTGAAAGTGATTCTCCGATCGAATGCGCTAACGCGGCTAATAGAAGCAACAATAAAGACCCTAATCTGCACAGGCTCAAATCCTACCCCCCCCCCCCCCCCCTTTTCCACATCATTTTCTCCACCCGATCGTCGTACGCTGTGTTGAAAAGTGGTACATACAGGTAGTGGTGACAGAGAAGCTTTGGAAAAGACAAATGGATCTAAGGAAATGTCGGACATCATAAAAACAGCGATAGAGTAGGCTACAAAGGGAAAACACTCGATCTTGAAAATGCAATCAATCATGAACAAGCTAATAAATAAACTTTCTATGAGTGCCGATCAATACATTGTTTCCATGAACACGTAACAATGATTTTATGGTCATTACATTGAGGCT